TGTCCAAATAGAGAACATCATTGAAGAAAATAACAAATCCATCACTTTTCATCATGTTCCTCCTTTTTCTCTCTTTTTGATTACAGAGAAAACTTTTGTGGGAATAAAAAGTGTTGGTGTTGTGTTTCTTGTTTGTTTACTGAGATAATGATTCCGTAAATTTTTAGTGTAAAACATTCGAAGTCATCTTATCCAGTTCATCCCATACAAATTTAGTTAGGTCTAGTCCGGTTAAAACTTTTATAAGTTTGGTTACCTAGAATGGAGAAGACATAGATCCCCAGCATTTAGGCTAGGTCAACTTATATAATACATTGTCTGTTACAGTCTGAAAGTTGATGAAAGTAAAATATAGTCGTATAGTATAATTTTTTAAAAACTAAATCTTATGGTATAATTATTTTGACTTTTATAAAAATACAAATTAAATATATTCAGTTACAGAGAGACAGCAATATATTTGTTAAAAGCATAAATACAAATTTAAATTGTGAATTTATCTACCAGTAAAGAATTTTATCAAGTTTGTAGAAAAAAACAGAACTTCTAATCAAAACCATGACTTGATGGATTGGCTGGTAGTCTAATGAATATGTACAGTTTCTAATCACTTTCTCTCTTGCGCCAACTATCTAGTTTGATGAGTTATAGTTTTTTTGTCTATGCTTATTCGAAGTTGAGGAACCTAGGTTGTATGGAAATTCTGGTAAAAGTCTGTTTCCTATTTCGGAAACATTTCGGAATTGAATTCTCTTGGAAATTAAAAAAAAATCTTCAGAAACGTGTTTTTTAAAATTTTCATTTTAGAAACACGATGGAAACTTACATTCTAATTTGAAAACACATGATTCTGATTTGAAAACGCTAAAACTAACTATTTGTTATTTGATGTTATTGATTACATATTTAATAACTTATATTTTTTATATTATCTTTAGATATTTTTTTTTATTTTGATATAATGATTTGACCTAGAATAAAGTAAGATCCATTGTTTAATCGAATAACTATTTGTCATTTGAAGTTATTAATTACATGTTTAGTAACTTATATTTTTAATATTAGTTTTACATATTTATTTTCAGTTTGGTATAATAATTTGATCTAGAACGAAGTCACCTCTATAGTTTAATCGAACAGTAATGTGTTAGTTTTCTAATTATTAATTAGATTTTTTTTTTAAATACCAAGAAACACATCACTTATATTACTTGATTTCCTCTTTTAGATAAATCAAACAATAAATAAATTAAACTTATATGTTAATTAATCATATATATATATATATATATTAGTCGTTTCTATAATATTTCTATTTATATTTGTTTTTTTCAAAATCATGTTTCTACGTTTCGAAACGTTTTGTTTCCACGTATCCATTTTCGATTTCATGCAACCTAGTGTGGAATCATCCGAGGACCCTAGACTGAACATCCGACCGCACATCCTTATTATACGTAATTCAAAGCTTGCTAACAGAAAATATATATTTTTCTTTGAAAATTAACAGAAACTATATTTAATAGTTAATTTGTCTAGGACAAGACCAAATATCATATGAAACCAGAAAACATATTTTTTATATATCTTTTGTATATACATATTTGTTACGTTTTCAACCCATTACAAAAAAAATATATGCTATATATCGAATACAATTGGTGTATTTAATAATAAAACCAAAGTGAAGTAAAATAATATTACCAATATCTTTTAATAATTTCCCCATAACTGTATCCACATAAGGTGAAATTTATACGCTGTTTTAATATATAACTAGATTTTGACCCGAGCTTGAAAGCGCGGAAATTTTTTTATGATTAAAATTTATATAATTGGTTTTGTTTTTATTTAAAGTATGTTTTGGTATAAAATCAGCAATCCAAAATTTGTGGTGGTAATCGCTTTGCATTAGTTTTTAGTTTCAGTTTTTATTTTTAGATTTTGCTTTTTGGTTTTTAGTTTTTAAGTTTCTATTTTTGATTTTCAGCTTTTGGTTTGGAAGCGCGGTAAATTTTTTATGATAAAAAATTTATATTATTGGGTTTTGTTTTTATTTAAAGTATATTTTGGTATAAAATCAGCAATCCAAAATTTGTGGTGGTAATCGTTTTGCATTAGTTTTTAGTTTTAGTTTTTATTTTTAGATTTGGTTTCAGATTTTGGTTTTAGATTTTGGTTTTTGGTTTTTAGTTTTTAAGTTTCTATTTTTTATTTTCAGCTTTTGGTTTGGGTTTTTAGTTTTTAGATCCACTGAGTTAGTTTGAACTACTATTACTAACAAACAAATCCTAAATAATCGAACATCTAATTAAAAACTGAAAAGATGACAACTTTAGAAAAAAATTACAATAGTTTATTTTGTAAATTAACAAAAGAAAAAATATAACATTCGTTTTCAGCTTTTGGTTTCGAATTTAGTTTTTTGATATGGTTTTTGGTTTTGCTTTACATTTAATTTTTAAAAAATCAGTAAATTATTTAAGAAAAATAAAATAATAAACTATTTAAAAGTTTCCATTGAAATTTATCAAAACAAAACAATTTTTATTTAAAATAAAAAAATAATTAACATGTTTTAAAGTACATGATTTAAATAAATGATTAATAATAGACAATTTTGTTTTCTTTAAAAATATTAAATACCTTTTGGGCTTTAAAATAATAACTGATTTTTTTATCCATTAAGGTGGAAAGTTTATTTAATGTTTTTTGGAGTTTTTCCTTAATACTAAGCTCAAAAACCAAACCATATAATTTGTTCTAAAAACAAAAGTAAACGCAAGACTATATCCCATAAATAACCATCGATTTAATTTAATTAATGCGGTTCAATTAACTATATGACATGTATTATTTGTAACACTCTAGAAAAAGTCCAAATTTAAATGACAACTTGTATCAGTAGATAAAAATAATCACTCTATTAAATATATATATATCATGGGACTATACTGTATATAGAGATGCCAATGAGAGAAAAGAGATATATCCTCTGTATTTTAACTCTCTACTTTATTCATAAGAGTAACAGTGTCGATTTTAACTATGATCTTCTACCTTTTTGAACCTTTAAAAATTAAATGATCTTCTACCATTCGGAAAAATAAAAATTCATGTTATCGACTAGTTTTAAGCACTTGTATGGTTTTACCAAACACGATTGACCTTCTTAATTTAATATGAACTAGATGTTGATGTGTGTACCCACACAGAAGTTTGATTTAACTTATGTTCAATGTAAAATCATAAACAGCTGATTATAAAAAAATTCTCATATATATATATATATATATTTTATGTTTTGTAATTTACATATAGAGCAAAATATATTATTTTATAATATAGATGTTTGATAAAAAAAATTATTTGTATATAATATTATACTAAGAATTTTATAACTTGATGTGATTGTACGAATCATATATTAATCTGCTTTTTTGTTAATTTATTTTAAAGTGAAATAATATACTAAATTTTTAATTTTTGTATTAATTTTCTATGAATTACTAACTTTATAATTTTTTATTTTCTTGAAAATTGAAATCTCAGATTTTTTATTTGATTAAATTAAATAAAGTAATACTATATTTAAAAATTGTTTTATATAATATATACACTATATTGTATTTGATACTCTAATATTATCAATAACACCATCAGCTTTAAAATTTTAATTAATTAATTAAATTGATTTTAAATGTAGTGGTAGAATCTGTAAATAAAAAGAAATGCAAAAATACTTAATTTGTTACAAATACAATGACTAAATATGTAAATAAAAAATATTAAAAGGACATTACTATTCATGTTTCAAAACATATTTCGTTTTATTATTGCTATTTTTATTTACAAACAGTACTAAAAGGTACTTCAGTTTTTAATAATATAGATGATTTTAAAACTAAAAATTTCTTTGCATTTATATTTAGCATAATAACCTAACATGTATATAAAGATGGGAACAATTGCATTTCAAATCATGAAGTTGGGAACCAAATTCACTTTAAACATTAGAGTTCAATTGCTAAACAATAAAACTTGTTTCAATAATATATTAAACATCGTAACTAACTTATTTGTTTTATACGACAAAAGTGTGATTGGTAGTGTTCATCAGTATGTCAAAAAAGATGGCGTAGCAGTTTATTATTTAAAAAAAAATATTTTTAATTTTGTTAATTAATCAAGAAATAAAATTAGATTAAAATTCAAATCAAAAGCTAAAAATTGATTAAAATTCAAAAAAATAAACAAAAGTAAAATTTATAAATTCAAAAAACAATCCTAAAAATCAATAAAAATTAAAAAATTTAGAAATTAAGTAAAAATTCAGAATTCAAAAAATGAATAATAGTTTATAAAAATAAAACCAAAAATATTATTAAAAATATTATATTAAAAAAATGTTTTAAAATTATACTATATCTCGTAATATCTTTTTACAGTGATATGATTAAATTTGTCACCATTACCGCTATGTTGAACCCAAACAAAAAAAATTTCAAGTGCTTTGTTGGGTCCAAATCTCTAGAACCCAAAAGATCCGAACCCGACACCGAGACCGGAACGCTCATGCCTACCTAAAAACCAAAGAGATTTGAGTTCAAGTACCTTTTCATTTTAAATTTTAATATTTTTGAATTTTTATTTGTTTTCCTGATTTTTAAAATTTCCTAATTGTTTCTAATTTTTAGCGATTTTACATTTTTTAATTTCTCAATTTATATTTTGATTGTTTCCTGACTTTTTCTGTTTTTCAAATTTTTATCAATTTTACAAATTTATTTTGAACTTTTAACTAATTTTATTTGTTTTTATTAAGTAAAATAATTATTTTTTTTATGAATGAACCGCTACATATTTTATTTTGACCTAATGAATAGTCATGTTTACAGTTTTGACGTGTGAAACAAGTGAGTTAATTTTGATGTTTAATATGTATTCAAATATGTTTCATAGTTTAAAGTGTTAGCAGTTGAATTTCAAAATTTAAAAGGGAAAATTCCATATAAGATATATATTAAAAGAGGACGCAAGATCATATTCAGCTTCTAGAAAAGAAAATAGTACAAGGGTTAACCTAATAACTTATTCATATTAATTATATGCTGGAGATGTTAAGGTGATATGATATATATTTATTGTACATATATTATGCATTAAGCTAAATGTTCTCATCTCCCACCACGTTAGAGTTGTTGCTTCTCGAAGACTTAACGTTCCAACGAGACCAAAATAGATAGCTAAGAAAGTTCAGTAGACTGAGAACCGCTAAAAGCCAATAAAACAAATCGAGCCTGTCCTTGTTCAGGTCGTTCTCCCCAAGCCACCCTTTGGAGTCAACAGACGTGGAAGTAATCTTATTCACGACCGAAACGAGCACCGAGCTAAAGTAAAAACCAAAGGAATACGAACAGTAAGTCAAAGCCATTAAGAAGGACTCCATGCCCTTTGTAGATTGTTTGTAAAAGAACTCGATCAAGCCAACGGCAGTAAACATCTCGGAGATCCCAAAGATCAAGAACTGTGGCGTGATCCAGAAGATACTCAAGATTCTACCGTCAAGAACAGAAGAGTCTCTACGCTTCTTTTCAAGCAAGGCAGCTGAAACCATGGAGAAAGTGGAGAAGAACAGTCCAACTCCTATCCGAGTCAATGGAGGAATACCTGAACTATGTCCAGTGAGCTTACGCGCAAAAGGAACGAATAGGGAGTCGTAGAGAGGGACAAGGAAGATGAGCATTATGTAAGGGATTGCTTGGAGTGAAGCCGGAGGAACGTGGAATGAATTTGAGAGACTAGTGTTCATGGAACTTCCTTGTTGGACTGAAAACGTTTGGAGTTGAGCTAGGATGGTGTTAAAGACGATAGTGCTGGCGAAGACTGGGACAAGTGAAATTAGGGTTTTCACTTGCTCTACTTGGGATACCGTGCAAAGCCTCCATTGACTTTCCTTTGTGTTTGTGTCTTGGATTTTGATGCATGCCTTGTCCAAGAACCTGTCCATACGATATACAACTTTAATATTTTTTTCATTGACTGTATGCGTATTTATGTTTGCATGTGACTTTTTTCTTAAAATATCTTACAATTTGTTTTAAAAACACATATGTATTTTCTGTAACGTATGGATAAAATTTTATGTCAAACTTATGTGGTCTAGGATTTCTTAATGATTTTTATTAAAAACATTTAAAAATTGTTAGTTATAAAAAGTTAAAACTGCGCTTTTATCTTAACCAAAATCATTGCGCTTTTATTTGAATAGAAAAACACATAAATAAACGAAAGTGTAAACACACAACCAAAGTCTTTCTATTGAAGTTGTGGTCTGGTCTTATAAGAACCGAAACGACCAAAAAGTTAAGTATCTGCGATAGAAAAGTGAAATAATGAGTTCAATGTAAGACCTGAGGCGAGGAGTGTATGGTATTTTTGGGTATGGTAAGACGTCGTTTGTGGCATGATGGCCTCCATGAAGCATTTTTGGGTCTGAGGGAGAGACAAACTTTCTTTTTGATATGGCAGCCACGACAACCTGCAATGCAGAAACCACTTCATATTAGTAAAGAATAATTAATAGTAAATTTCTATGTAAATTGTTATGCAAATATACGTATTTCATACGTTACTTGATTAGCAAAGTTTCCAAAGTTTCCAAACGCACGATTTTGCCATTATATTTGTTATATATGATAAAAACAAAAAAACGAACAGTTATAATGTTTTATTTCAACATCAGCTTTGCCTTTTCATGACTCAGCATGGGCCAAGCTGTTATAGTATTGTCTTGTCTACACACATGACCACAATTCCTAACTTTGATTTTATCTCTATGTAGATATTATTTTTTTAAGAAATTCAAATGGGTAAAAAATATATATATTTGAGGAAAAAGAAAAGAAATTCATATAGGTCAAAAATGTCCTTGGAATATATAGATTTGTACACATGTAGTTTTGTTTCTTATCAAAAGTATGTATATATTTCTAAATCTGTGAATTAACATCTCAAATTTGAATGTGTATCATATATAGAGTTATAATTTTATAAAAATGACCCGTATACTGAAGTATGCATACGCGTTCAGGAACCTTGTAAGTAAATAAAAATCAGTTCAGTTTAGTGAGAAGTTAAATATCGATGTTGAAAGAATATCTTTTTGTTTGTTATATATGTTGAACTCCTAGCATATTTCTGTTAGGAAATTCTATATTTTATTTATGAAATTTCGTTTATTATAGTAAAAATGGAATCTCCTAAACACACAGAAACAAGGTATATATAAAATTAATATTTTAGTGAAATATAGTTAGTTTTGAACAAAACATATTCCTCGACTAGTCAAGGATAAGGGGTCAACATTGGCGCATATATAAAGTACTTTTCCTTTTAAGACTATAAAGTGTTACTATTCCTTTGCAATAGTAAATAATCATAGTCAACTTATTTAAGTGTTTGATTTTAATTTACGCCAAAGTGTTGATTTAATTATTATCCGGTACACATAAAAAACAACTCTATTGTTTAAATGTGCGACTGTTTTAAATTAATATATCTGTACAAAACATATCCTCACGCGTCCAACTTCGATGGATATGACTTTAATGAGTCTTTTTGTGATTCTTTTTTTTAATTCTATTTTGTTATCCTAAAGTGAATCAAAATTTCTGTTTATTCGTATGGTAAACGAATTATTAGAAGGAAAAAAAAAACTTACTTGGGCAATAGGAGTGAAGATGCTTCGACGTGGACGTTTGTTACGAAAATACATTGTGCCGGAGACTATGCTAATGAGGCCCATAGTCATAGCTGCAGCAGAGACTCCAAATCCAACGTCCATGCCCGAATGAGTTTGGACCCAAACCAGGAGACTGAGCGCGATAAGCTCGCCCAAGGAGAAGGCGAAATAGGCGGCGTTGAAGTAAGATGAGAGTCTTTTAGATTGTTTAGGATGCGACTGAGAGAACTGGTCCGCACCATAAGCTATCATGTTTGGTTTCACGCAGCCACTTCCTAAAGCCACCAAGTAGAGTGCCGTGAAGAAAACTAGTGCCTTTAAACCATTTGCCTCTTCACATGAGCTTTGGTTTATCAATGGGCTACACTTTGGTGGCTTTAGTTGAGGTAAATGTGCTTGGACAGATAGTAGTATAAAACCCTGGGAAGGCACGTAGCAATACAGAGTTAACTGACAGTAATTTAACAACTAAAATTTTCAGAATGGTCGAGAAACATCTTAAACATTAATTGATGATGTTGATTTTTTTGTTTGTAACGGTGAGATCTTCGTAAATAATTAATAACTCATGATATAATGGTGAGCACACACACTTAAAGCATGTAACATGGACGTATGAACGTAAACAGTTAAGTGTATGCATACCGACTATGCAACGTTTTTGTTAGGAATCACATATCAAAGTGGTGTGAGTTTATTTCACTGAAAGCCATCCATACTCATAGATCTATATATACTTATATTTAAAGAACTAAAGGAGAAAGTGAACATACAGAAAGCTCAACGAAGCCAAAGATGAGGATGGTCCAGAAGCTGCCGAGGAAAGAGTCGGCGAGGTAACCACCGAGGAGGGCAAATATAAAGATGGTGCCAACGAAGTTGGTGACAATATTAGCCGCTTTAGACAAAGGGAAATGCATTTCGTTGATCACATATGTTATGAGGTTGTTCCCTACTGCTGCTATCCCCATTATTTCAAAGGCTTGTAATCCTTAAAAAAAAAGAAACAATAACAGAAATCAATAATAGATAATATAATGAAAATGTTATATTGACCATGGAATAAAGACCTCTAGCTAGTGGGAACAAATGTTGGATAAGGTCGAGTGCTTAT